TATGTATATAAAAAACATTCTGACCTTCCTTAGCAATATTTAAATTTCTTTCTCTTATTGCACTAGAGGTGTCGTCTGTAACGCTTGCTGTAAGAGCCCCATCTAGTGTCTAAGGCTTTTCAATGCGAGCTGTGATTTGTAGGTTAATGGGCAATTCCACTGAGGAATGGAGCATTAAAATTATTGCATCAGTGCTTTATGTTAAACTGGTATGGAATATTGTAATAGGAAAAATGTAGTTTTTCCACCCACAATGAGGAAAATTAATTTTAGCTTTTAATATACTGAGAAGATATTAATTTCAGCTATGCTACTGTCATATTCAACTGCTTGAAGCAGTTGGGTGCTTGAGGTGTTCATGTAGCATTCGTGAAAGAAATGTTTATTTTCATATGTGTCCTTCAGTTATTATGTCACCAGGCTCTAGATTAATTTTTAATACAGAAACCAATATTATTTCCTATGGCCTAAATACCCTCTATAAATGCCTTTTAGCAGTTACAGAAAGACAAGTGTGTGTATTACAGAACTGACTGTTGTAGATGTGTGCTCAGGAACTTGCTTTTTTAATAATACATGGTTAATGTTGTGGGAGATTTTGAGTCAAAAAACCCCAAAAACCTTGCAATAAAATGTTTATGCACTTAAAAATTGAAAAGAAAACGTTTTCTTGTTTGTTTTGTTTGATGTCAGAAAAATGCTAAAACGTAAAATAAAAAAAGTACACAAATAATTTTCCTATCCATGATCTGTATGTGAAGAGACAATGTGTATGTGAAACTGTTTTTTCTCTCAAAAAGGGTCTGCGGTCCAAATATACAAGCAGGATGTCTGTAGTAGTGTCTTATGTTAAAATCAGTTGTAGCAGATAGTGGAAGAAACAGTGTTTTAAACCTTTTTTTGTTCTAAGTTCTGTATTCTTTTATGAATGTCGTGCTCTGATTTCTATTTCAGGAACTTCAACTCAGGAGGAAGATGAAAGATTGCGTCACTGAAGAACATTTATATTTGGCTTTTTCTCATCAGTACAGAGAGAGTATCTTTCCTCTTCATACATCTATCTCCCTGTTTTTGCTATCCTACTGTGACTGCAAATTATTTAAAATTTTCTTAGTGCCAACTGGCGAAGATGTGGGTGATCAGTGTGTGACGAAAAACCTCCCTGGCGATCTTGAGGTGCATTTAATCTCCAGGTGTCAGCTTCCAGAGGTTGTGCGGAGCTGCAGTTTACCTGCAGTTGTTGTGAAAGATGGCAAATTCTGCCGAGCTGGGCTTTCTGTTGTCTTAAGATATATAATACAGAAAACATACGAGGCAGATCCATCTAAAAAGGATGTTTTGGAACTCTTGGGCTTTAAGAAGACTTGCTTAAAAGCTTGTGCTGAAGTGAGTGCCTTTCTTTCTCTTAGATACATTAAAATTTTTTTTATTAGCATTAAGTACTCTGAAGTAGACTCAATATTGATGTAAACTAACTTCTTTTAGTGAGAAATTAAATTTGCTTAGTTTAGTCCCTCCTAGGTGTGGAATATTCTATTCCTGTCAGCCCATTCTCTAGCCTGTGTGGGCCCATGTGAAAAGCAGCTCTTTCATGGAGTTTTTTGACTGCTCTGCTCAACTCACTGTTGTCCTTGATGTGAGTGTAATCCATCACCCCCCTGCAGGTAAAGATGATCAAATAGGATAGGCCCCAGCATAGAGCCTTGAAGATTTCCACTGCTAACTGACCTTCAGGTAGCATGTGAACCATTAACCAACACTACCCTTTGAGTTGAGATTTCAGTCTATTTATCACATAGCAGTTTACTCATCTGACAGCTCATCCATCCAGACTTGCCTTCCTCGCTCTCTCAGGAGGTTGAGCTCCAGCCTGTCAGGATTGCTACATCCATGGTTGCCACTGATTACTGTGTCTCCAACCTGGTTCATTCGTGTTGGTGTGTAGCAGATCTGGAGGAGCACATCTCTGTGTTAGTGCACACAGTGCTGGTGTAAAGATGTTGTCCCTGACATCCTCCAGAAACCTCTGTAATCTTTTGGAACTGCTGGAGAGCTTCATTCTATATTTCAGAGAGCTGCAAAGTGAGTGAACGGAATAAGAAAAGAAAAGAGTTTAAAAATTGTAAAACCTTTAAGTACAGGTAATAAGAAAAAGAGGACAAGGATAACAGCATCAAAAAAATAAGTAATTTTTTTTAAGTGCTGTTCAGTTAGGCAAAAGTTTTTTTTGATGTTGCATATTAAAAACCCACTAATAATATAATGCATTTCTGAAAATAAATGTGCTCAAAATCTGTTTGGTGTAATTGGATCTTATTACCACCATTTGTAGAGATGACATATAGAAATTGATCACACCTTTGCTTGTCATGAGTTATGCAGCCACCCTAATATTACGTCAATAATAAGGAATAAAAATATGCTATACTGGATAACTGTTCATTCTGTTATGTATAAGGTTTAGCTTCCTAATTCTGCTGTAGCAAAAGTAATAGAGAATATCTGAGTTTCTAAGATTAACAAAGAAATCTGGAATTTCTTTCCTTAAAGTGAATGAAAACGTATCCTGGATTTCGTTTCTCTTTCTGTAGAGACATTAATTACATAAATTTATTTGACAGGTTAGCCAGTGGACCAGACTTTGTGAGATCAGCATTCCTCTGGCTGTGGAAAGGTTTTTGACGGCGTCTCCTGAGCACTGTCAGGCTATTCCTCCTGACATTTTACAGTTTGAAAGGAAGCTTGGAGAACCTGTCCGAGTACATAATGATGACAAAATTCGTAGGCAAAAACTTCAACAGCAGAAGGCAGGTGCCAAGGCTGCAGTGCCCATACTTGGTGAAGAAGCAGAAAGGGAATTAAAAGCAGGGGAAGTGCATGAGCATCCACCCCCAAGTTTGGAACTGAGTTTAGCTTTCTCCAAGCTGCTTGTCCAGGAAGCATCAGATGCAGTCAGCAGAGAGGCCTCCCACATCAGGAGAACAAAAACTTCTGACCTTCCGCTCTTGGACCACATCTTTGCAGAAGGGCTTTATTTTACTGTGGCAGATTTAGTGCTATTTCCATGCATCCATCAGTTCTTGGTAAGATGACAAATTCTCCAAATATTAACTAGTGTGTATGTATGTTTTTTAAGAATTTGAAAGTTGTAAAATATGTTATTTAAAACATATTATGGCATTTACAGTGTGACCTTAACCCAAAACAGAGGATATGTCTTTGTTTTTGTACAAACACAAAAACCAGGGATTGGTGAGTTTACTTTTAAATACGTAGCATATAAATACTTAGTAAACACCATTAGCTGTTAAATTAGCTGTTAAATTATACTGAAATATTTTGGTACCAAGTTGCCCAGAAAATAGTAATTTTAGAATACTGGTACAAGTGACTTGAGCTCAACTTCAAAACCAATTCTGGAGTGGGAAGAACTTCTGTGGCAAGACTGTGCAAGAGTCTTACTCAGCACAATCTGTATACTTAGTTTTGTAAGGATATACACACAGGAATGATTTAAGGAAATAACAGCTATGTCTTTATTTCCCATTACAATGAAATGATACAGTGAATTTGCCTGCCACCAGCATTCCTGCAGTTATGAGATTTATAGCTAAGCTGGTGTCTCTTGCCAGGAAGAGCTCTGAGTGAGGTTGGTATTGACATTTTGATTTTGCAAGTTGCTTTGCCAAATTTGCCTTATGGTGTTCGAAAACAAAGGGAATTCCTGGAGAAGATGCTGCTAGTCAGATTGAGAGAAACAATCTCTAATATCAAGATAGGGACTATCGAACATTAATAATGTGATAAATATCCACTTTATAACTTCTTTAGCCAATATCATAATCCTCAGTGTATTGATGATAGCAATACTGGAGTGCAGAAGTAGGTTAATATGGCTACCTCTGAATTAGGTTGATGAATTATTTTACAGAAATGGTTCTTAATTCACATCTGCTTTGTTTGTTTTGTGAATCACGTAATTGAAGATGAATGGCAACTTCTGCATTCATGATACTAAACAAAAGTATTAAGACAAAATGCTTTCCTACTATTTAAAAATCTTTAAAGTATTTCAAGCTTTGTTTTTCCAAGACCTTTTTAAATAAGAAGACCATAACTTTTTATAGTAATTTTTTGATTTACTGATGCTGGGCATGAGAAGGTTCTTGGATCAGATGCTTAATTGATTTCAGCAATGCAATTGAGATTGTTCTGTAGATGTACTGTGAGCAGCTGAGAATGATGTATTTATTTACTTTGTATGTGTGACCCTTAAAGCTCTGGTCAGCAGCTTATGGACTATATATTTTATAATACATTTGTGTAGATCATGCCAAGGGTTGCCCTAAAAACCTGGCCTTCAGTTTCATTTTTATCTGAATTACAAGAGCTCTCATGTTACTTTATTTCTCTTCTCTGATAAGTGATCATTTTCTAAGAAATTATACCTTGATTCCTACAGTTATCATTGAAATTGAGTAATGTGCATCTGAAAGCTTCTTGCAAGCAGTGAGTTGAAATTGCTCTTGATGGAAGTGCCAGAGTTTAATTGCGTATTAAAGTATTATTTGTCACTTGTATAACTGGACTTCCTGGGTTGTGTTTAAAAAAATCACTATAGTTGCATTTCCACTGATTTAAGGGTGTGAATAATAATGAAGTCTTCAGTGAGTATGTGTCTGGAAAGTAACACACCATAAATGTGAGCGGACCTGACTAGCTGATTGTAATTATAATTACCAAAAGTAAGATAATGAAGCTGAAGAGTTGTTTTTCATTACCTCGTTCCAATTCAGTTATCTTCCCGAGGTTAGCTTTGGTACACTTTCTATTAGTTGTAACTGCTGAAAATTAATAAAAGTGTAACAGAAGCTCAGTTCTTCATCTGGCAGAAACCACTCTTCAGTTTTTAAAATACAGTTTAGAACACTTGATAACAAGTGTAACAATGCCTCTTAGAATTGCTTTCCAAAAGACTTCTTCCTTAACTGAATTATTGTATCTTTGCCTGTGTTACTATTAGAGTATTAAATTAGATGCTTAAAATCACACAGTTCATCCTTCCTTTGCTCCTTTAGCTATTGCTAATTACTTTTGATTATCCTAAGCATGTTATAAACACAGCATGCAAGAGAGCTGCTTGAAATTTCACATCATTTCAAGTGTTCTTTACCAATTTCTACTTCCATACTGTGGACAGATATGTGGAGGAATGCTGCTTTTGCATGGCCTTTTCTGCCTTTTCCTGTAATCATGATTTTTAATTTTATGTTTAAAGCAGGCACACCATCACAAAGTAGTTCAGGTTGGAATAACTGAGGTTGGAGGGCACCTCTGGAGCTCATCTTGTCTAACCCCCCTGCTTAAAGAAGGGTCAGCTTGAGCCCAGGATCATGTCCAGTCATGTTTTGAGTGTGTTTCGAAGGATGGAGACTTCACAACCTCTCCTGTTAAGAGGACAATCTTCATTGTTTTGAAAAAGAAATTGATTTAATTTCATCAAATGCATCCTTTTTAAAAGTAACTGGACTTCATGTAAATTGTGATGTTGTGTAATTTTTTTAATATGTGCAACATATTCTTACTAAAGAAATTTTTTATTTTATTTTTTACACTTAAAATTCTAATTTCTATTAAAGGCCACATCAACTCATAATCATATACACTTAATTCACAAAAGAAATATACTGGTTACCATTATTGTATAAAATATGTAATTAAGATTGTAAAAAAGTCTGAATAAATACATGACTTTTAAAAAAAGAAATAAATTTGATTCACTACTACTAGAAAAAGTTGCAGACATAGTGAAAAGACTTCAGTAAAGAAGGAGGATAACGTATGCCTGTTTCGGTTTTGCTGTTGCCACATAGTGTAAGGTATTTCAGGCTTGCAGTTCCCAGCAAAATAGGTGTTGGTGGATGAGCTTTTGAGAACTTCAGGCTACTTATGGGAAAGAACAACATTCAGATGGTCTTGCTTAGAGTTCAGTATTCATGGCAAATCACTGCACTGGGTTTTTTTGTCTGACTACCAACCAAAATGAATCATTCCTATGTTAGGAAATGGCATGCAGTTAAGAACATTATTTAAATTGAACTTTTTTGTTGCTGATTGAAATTATGAATAACATTGGTCATGTAAATCTTTTCATCCTATTAAGCAAACAGGGGTTGCAGATAAAGTCTAAATGGCCAACTGGCAATTCTACCAGCAGTTTTATTACCATCATGCTATGAATACACATGCCTGGCATGGAGCTGAGCTCACTTCTGTAGTTCATGCCTTCTAGTGGCTTGTAGGAAGAAACCCTCCCATTTTATTTTTTCAGGTTTCCAGCAAGAAACAAGGCAGAAACCTGGTAAATTTACCACTGATATCCACTTGGTATCGAAGAGTTCAAGAAGTACCTGGAGTAAAGAAAGCTGCTGGCAAATGCAATATGGAGCTTCTCCAGCTTCCAGAGTTGATGTCTGCTCCAGAGGAACAGGCACAGGACTTCTCTTCAGTTCCTGATGAGTTAGAAGAGGAGAACGAAGACAGTCATTTTATAGGTGGTCCAAGGCCAACTATGACTAAGTTAATGGTAATTTAAGCTTTTTAATGAGTTATCATTAATAGCAATATTCTGCTTGATTTTTAGTAAGTAAAAGTTTATTGGAATTGTAGAAGCTAATTCTGATAGCCTTGAACAGTTTAATACATCTTGCTTTTCTTATATCTGATAAGCGTTGACTTAGAATTGATTTTACTTTTTCTTTCTCTTTTGATATTTGATCAACTCAGGAATTGAGGAAAGATAGGACTGCTGAAAGACCTGTCAGTAATTCAGAACAATCAAAGTAACTTTTTGTTTGCATTTTCATATTGTATTCATCTTTTAAAGATATTTATGAAAAGGATGACAAAAAACCCTGTTGCTTTTATGTTTGGCTTCATTATTCAACTCTTACTGTTGTTTTTTTTTTGCTATTTGTTAGAACTTTGAACATCTGGGAACTCTGTAATGAGTTTTGTTAAAGAAAACTGTCCATCATGTTCCATAACTCTCATTATTTTTTGCATAGAGGTTGACAACATTTCCTAAAAAATTAACAGGACTTTCTTGTGAAAATGAGAGAAATACATAATTTGAATCTCATATAATTTGACTCCCATATAATGTAAAGTCATTTGACTCTCACATAATGTAGAGTCATCTGCCTGTTTAGTTTCAGTTAGGCTGAAGGTGGTGTTGTTGATCTGATGCCAGTAAATTCAGTGAGAATTTTGATGCCAACTTTAGTGGTAAAGGATCAGGGTCTTAACTTATTTTTTTCTTACTTTCATGTAGGAAAATGGAATTGAAGCAAAGTTTTTTCCACATCCATGCCCCAACTGGACCCTAGACTGGACCAGTCTACCGTCTGCAGTCAGTCCTGGGGAAGGTAAGGGGTTTCTTGTACGTGTGTGCATATTTAACAGTGCTGCCTTCTGGTGAAGCCATTTAACTGTTTCCTAGGAAAATATGTCAATTTTCAACGTGTTTCAGAGCTCTGTGGAACAGGTAAGCAATTTTAAATCTGTTCTAAAATTCAGTCTGTTTCTGACACATGGTGACATGACTTCCCTCACAGGTCATCAACAGCTGCTGACCAAACTGGGAATAAAAAATTGACCTTGAATTCTGAACCATATTTTTCCCCACTGTTTCCTACTTTCCTAAACTTTTCTTTATACCTAGAATAGTAAACTACATTATGTTAATGTCCTTGGCACAAAAGTTGTACATGGACTGTGTCTCCCAAAGCAGCAGATGATGATTTTATTGTGATGAAAATAATAGTAATTAGCAAAGTTTGGTAGCTACATACTGAGTGGCACTTTTCCCTGCCCTGTAGGGACAGTTTGCTTTGCTGGATTGCAGGGCAGTTCTGTTGCCCAAGGGCTGTGGTTGTGCAGAAAAAAAACCTCCTGATTTATCACAACATTTATTGTTTTCATCACCGTTGTGAATATTGAATACCTCTTCCACTGTGCTGTAGAGTGTCCTCTAAAATGTCTTATGCATAATGCCAGACAGTAAGAAGTTAGTGAAGAGCTATACATTTACAAAAAATAATTCAAAATTACCTAACTGAATACAATCATGTATTCTTGTCCATGATATAAAAGCTGTAAAAATAAGGTAAAATTTCAAGTTGATTTCCTCTGGTTTGGGTCTGTGTGTAGTTCACAAAGCTGTGACAAAACTCACATGTTACCATTAGTAGATTTATATTTTATAGAAAGTGTCCATCCTTCTAACACTGTTTTCCTCTGGTTTTGTCCTGAGAGAAATGTTTACTGGGATGTGGCACACCCTGCTTTAGTTATAGATTCTTTCCTTTAGCATGGAAGAAAAAAAAACCAGAACAAAACCAAACTTAGATTTGCTTATGTCTATATTACATCATGCTTCTTCAGACTTATGTGGATGTTTTGGATTTATTTCTTGTGTTAAAATAGCCTTTGCAGTCTGCTGAAATGCTTGGGAGGATTATTTGTCTTGAATTTCTACGATAAGTTCCAGTATTTTGTCAGAAGTTAATGAACATTTTTGCTCCTTTCCAGTGTTCAGGGTTTGGGCTAATGTTTTAGTTCATGCTTTTGTCAAGATCTCTTCTCTTCTGTTTGAAAGAAAATTGTGAAAAAGATGCATAACATACAAAAACACATAATGAATATATATTTGGAAATTTTTTGTTGTAAGGAGGCTCTTGGACTTGGTTAGACTGTGGAGAAAAATCAGCTCCTGCTGTTTCCTGCCTGTGTTTCCTGCTTCCNTAATGAATATATATTTGGAAATTTTTTGTTGTAAGGAGGCTCTTGGACTTGGTTAGACTGTGGAGAAAAATCAGCTCCTGCTGTTTCCTGCCTGTTCTTCATGTTTCCTGAAATGGTTACTAATGACATTGATCTATGAAATTGATTTTCAATACAATTTTTGGGAAGTTTTGCTAGCTTAACAAGGTGCTGAGAGAGAGATTTCAGCTTCCTTCACTCAAGATCACAATAATGCTGATGCCATTTTCTGATTTAGGGAAACTCCAGATGGTTGTCTGTTTAGTCCAGGAGCAGCAGAGTCACACAGGACAAAAAGACATTTCCTGATGTGAAAATTGATTTTGCTTTTCAGTTGGATGCATCTGCATGCTTGCCTTTGCTGTTCTACGTGCTACTGTTCTCTGTTTCATGATTCTTTTCCTAATGCAGCCTAATCATTGTTATATCAATTGAATTCTCAATATTTTACTGCTAAATCCTACCTGGCATGCTCAGAAAATAGTCACTGGTTCTCTCAGGGTTTTAAACTGGATCTGAGAAATGCAATTCAAGCTTTCAAACAGATTACCCCTATAACTGGTAAATAAATTTCCCCTTACTAATGTTGATAGAAAAAGTAGAGAATGTTTCAGTTAAAACTCCCTTTGTTTTTCTTTATCCACAGTACATTTAATTTGCCAGCAAATCTTAATTTAATAGCATGCGTGGTATACTTTCTTTGCTCACAATTTGTGTTATATGTATGTAGAAGTTCTGGGATTGAATGATTTAGTCTGTTTGTAAGTAATTAGACCACCTTGCTGTCACAGCTATTTACTACAGAAAAGAATTACAGATGATTGCAGTTTTAACGTATTATTTAGATTATACATTTAAGATGGTTCAGTTTTTTTGATGAGGATTATTTACTGTTGCAAAACTAAAGATTTTCACATCATGACTTGCATTTCATTTGCTTAGTCATATTTCTGAAGCAGAATGAGATAGAATAGAATAGACTATTTCAGTTTGAAGGGACCTGTAATGATTGTCAAGGCTAACTGCCATAACACTGCAGGGCTGACCAAGTTAAATTAGGTTGTTGTTAAGGCATTGCCCAAATGCCTCTTAAACTGGCAGGCCTGAGGCATCACCACCTCTCTAGGAAGCCTCTTTCTTTCTTTGACCACCCTCTCAGTAATGAAATGCTTCCCAATGTCCAGTCTATACCTTCCTTGGTGCAGCTTTGAACCACTTCCATGTACAAACCTCTGTTAGTTCTAGTCCGGATGCAATTTATAAAAGGTATGTGATTGACCAAAATGGAGTCATGTTTACATTTTAGATATCCTCCAACTTTTTAAATTTCTGCTGTTACTTCCAAAATGTATGGCTTGTACAGTTGTGTGTATTGAGATGTGAATCTATAAGGCTCTGTGAGCATCTGGACTGTATTTGAAAGAATATATCCCGTTGTATAGTATCTTCATGCCTTCTGTAACTGTTGATGTTCTAGGATACTGTAGTTGTCGAGTTGTTCTTACAAACTTTCCCATTTTAAAGGAATCTAACACAAAATATTTCATTTATTTAAAAATGTATTGTAAATGCTGTTTTCTCTTCTAGTTGACTGTATAAAAACTTGGCCAGTACTTTATTTTTCCAAATCTATGTTTAGGTCAGAAATATGTTGTTATTGTTTATTAAATACAGAAGCCAGAATACCTCAGCACTTTGTTGTTTCTTCCAAATCACATAGTGTGTAAAGACTTATCCCCAAGCACACAAATCAAGTCTGTCTGGCTAAATATATATCTTGATATTGAAAAAATAATTAGTGTAAAATCTCAAAAGAATTTCTAAGTTATGTTAGAGGCAAATGCTTGTATGCCATTGATATATTTATTGAAATACTTACTTGCAATAAATACTTCAGTTGGCAGTAGACACAATCCAGAAGTTCTAACCAAACTCAGTACTTGGTTGTGTTGAGTTTTCCATAGAAGTAAAGGTACATGTTGTTGTCAATATGTACAAACAATAAAAAGAGGGTGGCAGGTCAGAATATGTAAATATAGGTAGTCACAGGAAAGGAGGGAAAGAGAGACAGAGAAAATGAGACAGAAGGAAAATGAGATACATCAGTACAAGGAAATAATTGCACGATGTATGTCATTATAGAAAGTGTTTTCACCTTTTTCCCTGGCAAGGCAGTGGCTGAAATTTTGGGAAGAGGTGCTTGTTGAAATAAAAATGAATGGAAATAGTGTGCTACTGCTGATTAAATGTGAGGTCTGGGAAAGAAAGGATTATATTTAATTAGATTTGTGAGCAATAAAGAAATGCAACATCTTTTCTGTGGTTTCACTGTTCATATTAGGCAGCAGTAGAAAGAGGGTTTATAATCCTTTTTGGAACTTCAGTCAGTTGTGCAGTCTTTGCTTGTGTTCCTGGTCCTAAGTGTATGAAATCATTCATTGTCTTCAGGTTAATTTCCTACCAGCTGCAAAGACTTTGTGGATATTAAGATCAGTTTGACTGGTTATGATTAGGGGTGCTTCCTTTAGGCTCACCCAAAGCACATTAAAGGGAGTGGGAAAGTGTGTCAGTGTGGGGTTGGACAGTGATAACCCTTGTCACTGCTTTATTATTCTGATGATATATGGAGTCTTTGGTACTGTCATGTTTTTTCATCAAACATTGTGTTCATTGGGAAACAAAAAAGAAAGTTTTTTTTTTTCACAGGAATCTATTTTTTTCTCTAAAACAGCTTTTTATTTATTGGTGTGAAATTCAAGAGTGAGAAATAACTGACCCTCAGTTTCACAAACCCTTACTTCTTTTCTCACGAGTTGAAGTACTTGTTAAGCAGAAAGTACTTTATGTTCTTCATTTGTGGTATCTTGTTCTGAAATTAACCATCTAGACTGACAGAATGCATGTGGTGCTATTTACTTATGAAGGTAGTGGTTAGTTGTGAACAAATTTATGCTATTCTTTCCAAAGAAACTGCTCACAGAATGAATGTAGCAAGTAGGAAACTACATTCTGTGAGCTTGTAGATGATGCTCTCTTCCTTATGAAAATATTTTTTCTTGAATGAAGGCATTATAGTAGGTCAGAAAAAGATCTCCTTAGCTGAACTGTGACTTACTGTCAGGTGAAACTGGAGAGACCACTGTGCTTGCACAGTAGGAGATAGAGGGGTCAGTTACAAAATATGTGAAGACTTTGAGGTGAAGGAAGTCTGTTTAGAAAACTGTAGGCAGATAAATAAAGTTAGATCAAAGTAAGTGATTGCATTTTACTAATGCAGTTTGCTCTTACCAATCAATGGAACACATGTAGCCCTTTAACTTTGTGGTTGGTCCTAAACAAATTCAATGGTTTGTATATAAATACAGTTCCCAGTGAATCATGTCAAGTATATAACATGCTTCAGTATTTTTAGTAAGAAATGGATTCCTAGTATTGAATTGACTGGGACAAGTGTTTTGACTTCTGGAGGTGAAATTTTCTATGTGCAAATTTTAAAAAGCCCATATGGAAGATGGAAAGCCTTTACGTGTTCTGTGTCCAGCACATAGGAAAGGGTGTTAATCCATTGCAAGGCTGCATCCTTGCCTAGCTGAAGACAAAATGA